TCGGATAATTATCGTTCAAATAGCCATATAGATTATATAAAAATCAATTAGTTCTCATAGTTTAAATTCGTCACCGGGTATGAGTTCAAAATGATGAGCATTTTCACATTGTATAATGTGATCGGAGGGCGTGGGTGTTGTTACTCTCATTTCCTACAACTGATACCTCACCCACACCCACACCCACCCAAATGAAATATGAAAGATATTCCTCTGGAAAGATCTTTTAAATGTTGATTATAAAAAGATTTTTGTCCTACTGCAAGATATAAAATAAAACATATTTGATTGAAACAAGAAAATTGTGAAAATCAAAACCATATTTCTTTTTGAAATTACTTCTACTAAGGATACGACTAACGATAATAGCTGCACCCGCTAACTAGATCTTTCATAAAAAAAAGCCTTCATTTTGATTTAAATAAAGACATCCTATTCATATTTCTCGTCTCTTTATTGACAACAGTTATTTGTATATGTTTGCTGCTAGAATGAATATAATGTTTTGAAGATAAGCAAACAATATAAGGATATGTGAACCCTAGAGAATGTACTGAGTTAAGGGTACCCGAAAAAGTACCCTGTTACCAGTATGTCACAGGAACTTTTGGGTACCAAAGTACTTGGAAGTACTTTCAGGTACCTAAGTGGTACTTTAACAAGTACCCTGCTACAAAATGTGTAGTAACTGGGTACTTGAAGGTACTGATCAGATACTCAATTGGGTACTATTGTATAGTATTTCTAGGTACCCTGTTACAAAAATTTCAGTATGTTCAGGATCGAACCTGACCTTTAACTTTTTTTAATTTTTGTTTCTCTCAAAGCAATTTACTACAATTTTTTTTCGATTTTATTCAATTTAATTTTTTCAATCCCAAAAACTTAGCAGGTACAATGCCGGGATCTGACCCGGCTTGAGTTGGTCAGGTATCCATCAGACCACTTCGGGGTAGTCCGCTCTTAATCTACGACCAAGATCGGCATGTGCTCGACTAAGAAATAGTCAAGAAATAATCTAAAAAAAATTAGTATGAAAATAGATTAATTTCTTATGTCTTACCCAGTTGTTTATATGGACCCGTGCGTGAAGAAGAAAACGGTGAATGAATAGTCGCCACACAGAACGCGACAAATATAGGGTGCCCTATATAGCTTGCCTCAGTAAAATTACAGATGTGAATACCCATACAAGTACTTGTTAAGTGAGCATACTTTTATGGGAACCACACGCAGTACCTACATCAGTATAATTACTGAGAACTTTTGAAGTATCCATATTGGGTACCCTGCTAGGCCTTTCTCAGTACATGGGTACCCTGAACTCAGTACTTTCTCTAGGGAACTGTTATTTTCATTGATAGTAGAATCATCTCTAGTTATGAAGTCGAAAAAACTGGCATTTGACCGTATAACCTTATAATATCAAATAAATTATAGGATTCTATTTATTTTTGAAAATAGAAATGATCATACTACCCAGAAAATTATGATAAGTAGAGATATACCGTATAGAAAAAACTTTCATTTTAAATTTGAACTTCAAATCATGCAATACGTCAGTTTCGTGGGATTAGTCTCTGTGATCGATTGACTAAGTTGTTTTGTATCCAATACGCTCCATCACACAATTTCTAATGTGCATATTTTATTATCTGAAATATTTTCGTGCCAATTATTATAATTCCTTAGTTCACTTGAATGAACTATGCATCAGATGTATTAAAAAGTTCTCCTTAATTAGTGAATTTATTTCTTGCTGCATGAGAACTTTAATTAGTACATTTACATCAAATTATATCTAATTTTCATAGTTTTGAACTGAAAAGCCATCAAAGATTGAGATAAACGCTATTTCAGGACTTTGAAAATCCTAAAAATATTTTTTGCAAATTCATAAATGGAATCAAAATAGATATGCAACCAAATTCATTGATATGATAAAAATTTTGTGATTTTTTTCTTTACACAGAATCAGCTATTTTGATAAGGGTGTGGGTGTCATGTTTCTCTCAAATCATACTTACACTCTTTAGGATGTTTCAAAAATGCAACTTCACTCAAGAAACTATTGGAACTTAAGAATTTGTTGAAATTTAGGTAACATATCAACCCGAACGTTTTAAATGAAATCTACGTTACCATACTATTCTTACTCGTAAATTTTAAACGAATGCAATGGTATGTTACATCCAGACATTGGGGACGCCATTAACGCTACGAGAGATAGCAAATATATAAATATAATCTTTTCTATGAATATTCAAATATGGATAGATCTATGGGTGTTGAAAGAATCGAAAAATCGACTCACACTTTCATAACTACATGCTTCTGAGAGAATTTCAGTAATTCAGAATTTACGACATCTGGTCTCTACTGAGTCTGAAAGAAATTCATGGTTTTTTTAGTGTAGAATACAATATGTTATATCATCTCAAACGATAAATGACTAAAATGAATAACAATCACCATTTTTCCAAATAAAGTATATCTTATTCTACTAATTTCATATCTGATTGGCTACTCAAACTTTCAGTCTCTAAACTTGTTTTTTGTTTTTAAAAAGCTTTCGGAAGAAATTTGTTGTTCGCAAATATACATCGTTATACGTTTGGAGAAAACTATAATGCATATAAAGGTAGAAGATGAATAAGAAAACGTGAAAGAAGATTGATATTGCGCACGAGCAGAACAGAATCAATAGCGTGTGACACATACCTATTACGTAGTTTATTCATGTTGTAAGAGGAATGATGCTTTTTTTTTGTACGCATAAACATATTGCAATTTGGAAAAAACCAATCACTTTCTTTCAATGATATGTGCGTCACATGATCGATTAATAAGTGTATTTAATCATTCTCATTCGTTCTACTAAGCTCATTTTAAATAGTAAATGAAGTTACATAAAGATAAAACAGTCATTACTTGTTACTTTTTTCGATATTTATTCTCACATGAGTAAGAATTGATGTTTATCTTTTGGCGATGTGAAGCCTGTACATTTGAATTTATGAAGGCACATCTTACCTGATACTATTTTCAGGAATGAGACTGATTAGTTGTCGGAAGTACTGAAGTCTCTGATTAGTGGACTCTTATACTTGTTCTTCTTAGTTTTTGGTGATTAATACATCATCATGATAAAATTCCATTTTTTAGATAATCGATCATATACTTTTATAGCACTCTCAGGCAGAGACTATCTAGACACTTCTCATACATAACTTTATTATTTTTTTTTCTTCTTTTTCGAATATGTATCGCGAAATGAACGATCACTTAGGCCTTTCTTAAAACGTTCAGAACAATTGGTTCCTTATAATCAAATTCCGTCAATTATTCCTTTAATCAATTCCTTTTCGACTATCAACTTTTTTTCCGAATACAACTACTTAGTTTGTAATGTAAGAGAATTTATCAAATCAAAAATCACTCAGATTTCAATGGAATTCACCGATGAGTATGGAACTATGAGTGACTTAGATACTCACATATTTCTTGTGTCGTGAAAATTTAAAGCTTTTTTTAATTATTGTAAGATTTAAATTCGATTGTTTTCTTACAGAAGTGACTGTTTGATATTTCAATTAAACAACTATCGTAGTGCTTTTATCATTCATGACAACACAATCTGTTATCCTGGAAAGTTCATCGAAAATGGATGTGGGTGTGGGTCAATCAGAAGAGAGCACTCACACTCACACCCCATGCCCACACTCACATCCCCACCCACACCTCACACCCACACCATCCACATACCCACCTACACCTACACCCACACCCACACCCTACATCCACACCCACACTCACCCCACAGTCCACATTCGTACCCACACACCCACACCCAAAACATTAAAAGCTGTATCTTACTATGCATTTGTAAAAAAAAAATTTTGTTACTCTAGCGAAATCATTAACGAAATAGAAAAAGTATAGTGAAAATTTGTCTTTCGGAGAAATTGTGTTTTTTCCTTTATCGTTAACAGTGAATAACCGACTTCACTGTTGATGCAAACCAAATGTTGATTCTACGACAACCATCATACGCGACTCAAAATTTATATGTCTCTTATCTTCTTCCTTTTTACAGAAAGCAAAATAAAAAAATCCCTTGAATATTTATGATACACTTCATCACTGCTAAAATCTATTGAGATTTATTTATTTTGACTTCTCTGACGAAGCTCACACTGTGTCTCACCTTGCCCTGAAAATGGAGTAGCATCGAAAATCCAATAGATCTCAAGAAATAGGTTTTTCTATTATCAACATATTTAACGACATTTTCATTTGTACTCATACAAAATGAATCATTTAAGTTAGTCTATATATTTGTATTTTAGAATTTTTATCCATAGTATGGACATAATATATTAATTATAAATTGAAGTTTTTAAATTAGAATTGTGTTTATTACAAGTTGTATACGACAATGGGCCAACAATTATCGAATATTAATTTAAAAGCTTACGATGCGATTAACATAGATGATGTAGAAATAAACTATGATACGATCACATCTCGCAATGGTGATGAAAATATTCATTTATTTTCATGGATCAAAACTCCTGAAGACATGACAACAAATTCAATTGGTTTTGATCAAATTGCGAGCAGTCACATTCAATTAATGAAACTACTTCGGAGAGATCTATCTCTACTAACACATAAAGCTGATATTCTAAAAATTAATTCTGATATCAACGCAATACTTATGACAGATGTTTTTCCATTGATTTCTGTTCGTTGTAAAGAAACCATTGAAGAAATTATAACTATTATGAAAAAACAAGAACAACTAATGTTAAATATATTTTTGAAACAAAACCTAGAAGAAAATGAAAATATTGATCAGCCTATTACAAGCGATTCATTTCCTGAAACTTTTCCCGAGGATATAGACGAATGTAATATCAATAATACAAACGAATCTGATGATGACAAACAAGAAATGGAACAAGCCAAATTTCATGTTCAAAAAGTATCTTGTTTTTCTATACAATCATTAACATCTTTATTGATGATTTTAATTAAATCAACAGAAAAAAATGATCCAACATTTGTTCAAGAACTATTAACATTAGCAATTCAATTGTGTGATCAAATTCCAATAAACTCTTTTAAATCGTTCGAATTCTCACCAATTATTGATAATTACTGGTTCAAATCATTAAAACCATTGACAAATTATATAAATGAACTATCGTTATCACAAAATGTCATGATGTCAAATAAAGCTATAAAAATTCTATTAAGTATTTCTATTGCAAAAGCATCATTTAAAGATATTCTACCGATTCTAAGAAAATTGATATTCAATGAAGTTAATGTTTATAATGTTCGAAATTTATTTATTCGATTGAATCATACCATGGTCAGAGCTCTTAATAAAATGGAAAAGAAAAAACAACAAAAGAACAATGATTCGGATGATAAATTTAAACAAGCCATAGATGATAATATAACATCGATTGAATCAATAGGTAAGAGTATGATTCTATTAGAATCAATACACTTATATCTGCTGATCTATTTAAAAAAAAAGCAAATCCATCAAAGCTTTTCATATTAATCAATTAAAAATGTCAAAGAGAACATTTTCATCTGAGTTGTTACCTCTCTATTGTAACGATCATTGACATATGACAGCATCAATTACAGATGAAATAGGTTGAGACTATTCAACTCAATTTAGTCTGGTTGGTGCAAAATTTTGCCATAGTTTCATCGAATATGCTTGATTTGAATATTTTTCAGGTAGGAATTGAGATCTCAGAACCGGTATAGTTTTAGTTGTCGAAAAACAAACTTTTCAAAATGTAGAGTGTGGGCGTGGGAAGAGAAACACACCACCCACACTCTCAAATCTTTTTTAAGTCACGGTCCACGTAAAAACAATTTTTTGCGAAACACGATCTGAAAGGAGTGCTGAAGTACTTAGGTGTAGGCATTTGAACCCATATCCTCCCACATTCCCCAAAGACCGTGACAGACAGGGCTTCAGACTCGTCATAGACCTGACAGATGGGGCTTTGGGCTGATCATAAACCTTGACTGATAGACTGCAAGAGTCATGAGAGACTGATTCAAAACTTCAAGAAAATATCGGAGATAATGCGTACCTAGCAGACGATAGGAACATATATGGAGTATTATTCTGTTCAAGCTCTATAATTAAGAGTAAGCCATGATGAAGAAATATACTCCAATATACATTAAAAAAAAAGAACAGTTTTTAGAAGATTGTCAACAGTGGCTACGTCGTGTTTCATATTTTTAACCCTGCAAGGGATTGAGCTAACAGCTTTTTAGCCCTGGACTCAGTTAAATTTGGTTTTGATTCTACTACCAGCATTAGTAACCTCAGTTGTCCTGCTTTTTGTTCATATTCAGAGAAGCTGTTGCGAAATCTGCCGTTTTCAAATCTGGAATAGTTCTCAAATATTCATATTTCTGCTGTTTGTTGTCGACGGTAGACATAACCGAGACTAAAATTTTTTTCGATTCTCGTCCCAGTCAAAATTTTTTTAGTCCCACACCCACGTCCTATATCATCCAATAAAAGATTGAAAGCTAGAAGTTTTGTATACTATTTGCATGCATCGTAATCGTTTTAGACGACTTAAAACCTAAAAATGAACTCTATCACATCTTCGATATGAATCAAAGAAAAATTTTCTAAGTAAAATATCATGATCTATTCTTTTTTTAGACTATTTGAAAGTAATCGGTGCATTTCCAAATTCACGATTAATTCGATTAAATGAAAAAGAATTTATTGGACCATTTGTTGCATCTATTATTTTGGCACACATTGATTTTTATAATGGAATTCATTCAATTGAACAATTCAAAGAGGGTTCAATTGATAGTTCAATTTCATTTGAATTTCATTTGGATACATTCGAACAATTGTTTCATATTATCGAACAATTGATAACAACCAAACTAGAAGATTCAAATATAGTCATTCGTCATATTCTAACTGTTTGCGTAAGATTATTTACTACACATTTGAAATTTTTATGTACTGCAATATCAACTCTTGACAGAGATTTATTTTCGACAAGTGATGAATGGAAAAAAGCCATTCAAGTTACATCTACTAAACCAAAATATGACATTGATTTATCAAAATTTTCAAACGATAAATTCAAATTATGGTTTGATTTATTATTAAAATTAATTAGTAATGACAATGAAAATTTAGAACAAATAAGAATTTGTCAAGAAGCATCTAAAGCTATGATTTACATGATCGATAAAAAAGTATCATCATTTGTCGAAAAATTATCATTTTTTCATACATCTATTATTGAAAATAAATATCCTTCATTAGTTGAACAAATATTTCTAGAACTAAAGAAAAGTATTACCTTATTAAACTGGATCGAAGTATTAATTAATGATGATGATACGAACAAGTCTACTGAGAAAACATTAGCATCATCAGTATTGTATTCATTCGTTGATGTTTGTCTCAATTCATCAAATCATATAGATCCAAAACACAAAGATCAAATCAAACAAATGTTATTTATGTTTCAAGAACTTTTATTAATTCGATTAATATCACCATCTCAAATTGAAACTATTCTAAATGATGACAGAACTCAAAATGAATTACATACATGTTCGATTTCTTACGATGCTATATCGTTTGTAATTAATTATCTCACTTATATATTAAATAATTGCAACGATAATGATTTATTGAATTCAATATTTGTTGGTTTGTGTTTAATAATAAAAACAGAAAATATTTTTAATTTTAACACAATTCAACCAATTATCATGGCGCTATTACCAATATTAGTAGAATATCTATTGAAGAATATTATCAAAGATGAATATGAGAAAAATAATTTATATTCCATATGTTGGCTAATAGGTAAAATGACTAATCTAATGATTATTGGTACTGAACAAAATTTATCAGAAATAAAACATATTGATAAATTGAAATCCCTTCTATTTGCTGGTGGATGTGAACAAATAATAATTGAAAACAATAAATATCTATTCGATTTATACAAATCGAATCTTGCTGTTTATAGTCAATTTAAATTATATAATGAAATGCAACAATCATCATCGTCTTCAGATGATGAAGAATTTTTAATGTCTGTTTACAATAATACTGGTGAAGGTGCACAATTAATATCAAATATGAAAGAACATGTTGGAGATAAGCAAAAATTATTGAAATCAATTGAAGAACAAGCAAATGATGCATGTGCCGCTCTATTTGCTGTTTATATTAAATATTATCGTCGAATTAATCTTGCTAAAAGACAATTATTACAAATAAATGATAAAAAACCTCATAATAAACTATTATCAATTTATGAATATGCAAATGATATTAAAATTTTATCTGCTACAACAAAAGCACAAGGTGGTAATTTAGATGAACTTTATAAACAAATTAAAATGAATACATTATTTCTACTTTTATATGTTAAAGAAACAAATTTAATACCGATCATTGAAGAAGATGAAGACTTATCATCAGCATCAATTTTAATAAATACACAACCAAGAAAACGTATATCATTTAAACGACAAATTTCACGATGGTCAAAAGCTAAACATGTTCTTCGATTACTTCGTAATACAATTCAAGCATGTATTCGATTTAAAAAATTAATTTTAGCTAAAAAACAAACTAAAGAAATACATAGTATTGAAAATAATTTAAATCGATTGATTGATGCTTTTGTTTATGGGGATTTTTACAAAAGTACTATACCAATAACAAGTGAAGAAAAGAAATTAGAATTAGATGAACTTTGTCAATGTATGTCTCGATACTATGAACGAGCAATGATTCGATTAATTACATATCGATTTATTCATAAATTTATTCAAAATCTACTAGAAATTAATGATCAAAATCGTATTATAACAATTTTAAATCTTTATTTACCACATTTAAGAAATTCAAATTTCGAATGGTCCTATTTGGAAAATATTCAAGCAACAAATAATCAACTTAAAGAACAAATTAGTAGTACATATTATTCAATTATCAAAACTATATTCTCTTTTATTTTAAAATTAGTAATACTAAAACCAAAATTATTAGTACAAAACATGTTCAATTTACTTAATTTATCCTATGAATCTATTGATCTTTTATATTTAAATCAAAATCAATTTTATGAAATATTATTTGTATCATTTATTAGTTTTGCTAAAGATTCAGATCATATTGTTTCATTAGATACAAAATTAACTACATACAATTGGTTTCGTTTTTATATTTTTAAATTATGTGAAATTGTTGAATTAGATGAAATCAAAAGTACATCGAATAACATCATAAAAAAACAACAACAATATATCTTTAATAAACTTATCTTAGATGAAATCAAATCATTAAACCAATTAAAACAATCATTACCAATAGATGTAGAACAGGATATTGATCAAGAGACAAAAAATCGAAAATATTCATTAAATAATGTTGCAATCGATTGGTTTATTAAAGCAACAACAACTATTGAAAATAATATATCGATTCATTCAAGTAAATTATTATCAAAACTTGACATTGAACTTTATACAAATCAATTGTTAGTATTATTGCTTCGATGTAATTATTTATATGATAGTGTTCGATCAATTTGTGCAAATGTTGATTATATAGAAGAATTATTATATATTTATCGTAGTAGTAAAAATCAAATTACAATTTTACTTGTATTAAAAATTTTACGTAGTATAATTCCATTGCTATCAGAAAATGAAACAGCTATTATTATTATGAAAAATCTATTAAATGAACTTTTATTTTCAATTGGTATTAATTTTACTAAACAGAATATGACATTAGAAATAATGAATGAACTAATAAATGTCTATCGTTCAATAATATCTTTAAAATCATCATGGCAAATGATGGCAATACAACTTATTTTTAATAATATTGTATCATATGTAAACGAGATCAATATGAAAACATTGAAAATAATTGATACTATTGAAATGACTTATGTTTTTGCATCATTATCTATTTTAGGTGGTTATGTTCCATCATATTGTCGAGGTTCTATTGTTCATGTCTATCCGAATGAAGAAAGTAATGAATTTGATTTAGGATTAATTATTGATATTAATACAGAGAATCAAAATTCTGATTCATCTGAAATCTTACCCTATTTTATTCAATATTTACAATCCAATAAAACTGAATGGATTTCAGCAGAAAAATTACGAATTCAAATTGATATTCTACCATCGAATTTATTCATATCGGCAAATATCAATGATTCAAATACTATGATACATTCACTTTTTGATGCATTAGGTTATATAATACAAATTGATACATCAACAACAGAATCTTTAATATTATTAGAACTAAAACGTCGTTCAATGTCAGCCTTGAGTTATCTATTAAATGATAAAAAACTTGTCGAAATATTCAAATGAAAAATCTTATATATCGACAATTGCAAAGTTAGCAATGTATGATTCTTTATTTAAAAATCGTTCATTACCTGTTGATTTACGTTTATTTAATCAAGAACATTTAGAACACTATTGTTTAAGTTTAGATAATTGTGTACGGTCGAAACAAATTATAGAAACCGAGAATGATAATTATACTATCAGTAATAATAATAATAATGAACCTACTGGAAAAAAAATCAACATACGAAATCTAGATGACACATCATTTTATATTTGGAATCATGATGAATTTAATCTAAATCCATTAATTGTCGATGCTTTATCAATAAGTACATTAAAATATAATGGATGGAAGCCTTATACATCAAAATCAGAAATTGAATTATTTGAAAAAGGTCGAATTGGAGCTAAAGAAATATCAATTGTTTCTTTGCCACATAATATGATCGATTCCAGTATAATCAAGGAATGCGGTACTAAACATAAATTCAAAGGAGCAGTTCATTTAAGTACTTTTTCTCTACTGGGAATATTTCCAACGGTTATCGTTGATGATCTACAATTGACAGAAGGTAAATGGTATTATTGTGTTCGATTACCAATTGGTGGTATTGTTCAAATCGGTTGGGCAACAACAGGATTTACGACTGCTACTTATAATGGGCGTGGTGTAGGTGATGATAAATATTCATGGTCATATAATGGATTACGTGGTCTTCTGTACAACAATGGTGAATTTCCAATTTCATCTGAAGAAATTCGTTGGGAAAAAGATGACATCTGCGGATGTGGAATTGAAATCGATGGTGAAAATACTCGAATTCAATATTGGTTAAATGGAACATTTTTAGGTACATTTTTTGAACATCAAGCAAATATTGGAACATCAACAACAAAATGTAACATGTTACCACATGGACATACAACATCCTATTTTCCTGCTGTTTCTCTTCATGTATCTTTTCTAAGTTTAGGTTGTATTGATTTCATATTTAGTCCAGAAGATATGACCAAATGTCCATTACCAAACGGATATAAACCATTGTTAGTACCACAAGAAATCAATATTGAAAATTCGATCGTTCCTTACCCATACAGTGCCTATTTAGTTAAGTGTAATGATATAGAAAATTATGTTCATAAAAGACAAAGTACTAATTCAACAAATGTTCTATGTGATTTGATTAATGATTATCATCTTAATACTTCATACAATCTAGATAATTCTGAATTACTTTTATCAAAAGATAGTAGCGGATTTCCTTTATCAATAGTCAATTATCAATCATCGCTCACTATAAGTTTTGATTTTGAAATTCTTAATAGAACTCTCAATGATACAAATGAACAATTTGATATTCAATTATTTACATTAGAAACAACTGAAATATTTTCCGTACGAATACCATTGAATAAAATTGATAAGAATTCAATACGAACTGCTATTGTAATTTGTTTAGATGAACAAAAAATTAAAATTTATTTGAATAATCTATGTCAAATAATTAATACTAATATTGAAATACAAACAATGACAAATTTTAATTTTCATATTTTACCAAATCTAGATGCTAGAATAAAAAATATAGGTATTTGGAAATATGCACTCTGTGACGAATATATTCAACGTCTGTTTACTTATAGTCTATCTTATGTTGCAGTTGATTATAAACAATTAAAAGAATATCGACAACAAATGAATACATTTACATTTAGTAAAAATCAACAACAATTTGAAAACGAATTACTACTTCCATTTAATGAATCATTTGAAGAAAGTCTATGGGAGAAAAAGAAAAAACAAGTTGATATTGATGAATCAAAATATTTTAAAACTATCGATGAAACTAATGAATCAACTATACAACTATTTGGTAATAAAACTTATCTTGTTCTTTCAAAATCCATTGAACAATGGTCCGAATATACATTAATTCTTGATATTTCCATACCTAATTTCCCCACATTCAATGAACATTTAACAATTTTCTCAACAAATGCAGAAACTGGAATTTATATTACACATAGTGGTAAAATATGTCTATTTAATGATGGAAAAGTGAATCAAAGTAAAATTATCTTGAAATTAAATGAATATATGCGTTTATTTATTATGGTTCAAAAGAAATATATTGAAATTTATTTAAATGGAATATTACAAATACGTTCCAATATTAATAATGATCAATTTATATTAAAGACTAATCGAATTGATTTATTTCGAGAAATAGATTTATTAATGAATACTACAAATGATGATATTGTTCGAATTGAATGTAAATCGATTACATTTCTAAATCGATTAATAGAATCTGATTTGATTAATAAACAATTGAAATCATCAAACTATTCGTTAACATCATTAGTTGCACCACCATTTTCATTGATTGTATCAAATTTAATTGCAATTGGTTATAAAGACGAATGGATAAAATTAGCTATGAAAAAGTATAATACTACAAATAGTCAATTAATTGATAAAATTATACGTGAAAATAAAGATGAATTTTTCAAAATAGATCATGACAATTCACGAAAACATCATTTAATCATTTTGTCAAGATTAAATCCATTGATTGAACGAGAAAATATTTCAGAACTCAACAATGATGAAGAGATAACATTCATAGGTCAACTAATATGTGATTATGAAAATTTGATAGAAACATCAAAATCTTTAAATCATTCAATAAGTACAGAAAATATGGATGTCAATGAATTAGATGAGAATAGAAGAGTACGATATGAAAAGACATGGTATCAACAAACGGTTTATGGTTTGGATGCACCTGATAGTATAATCGGATGGTTAAATGATAAATTATCGAAAACAAATTTAGGTAATCTTTATCATTTATTCGATTTAAAAAAATCTGAAAAACAATTTACAAATGAAATATTAGATCAACGAAAAACAATTTCTAAATCAATTCAATACTTTCATCAACAAATATCCCGAAAACAATATTTAGATTCACGTTTGGCCTGTGAATATGGATTAATATCGATCTATGCTCGTAATACTATTCTAAATATATTGAAATTATGGTCAAATAATGATGGAAATTTATTTCCTGTGAAAAAACTTGGTGATCATTTATTTATTGTAAAATTATTACAATTATTACATTATCATTATACATATAGAAGCATGTATATAGATGAAAATATTGATAGAATAACTGTACTAATTCATTCAATTCTTCAATTTGAAGTGAAAGAATTAATTAAACATATAAGTATTAATAAAGAAATTACCATTAAAATATTACAAAATAAAGCTCCATTACTTTATGAATTACAAAAAGATATTATTATTCAATTGGTTCGTTTCATATTGAAACCTTCATCATTCTTATATGAATTGAACAATCTTGATGAAGAAATTATAATTAAACAACCAAATTTTAATTTCATTTTCAAAATATTAAATATCTTCGTTAAATTGGCAACTGATAAATCAATGAAACAAGATGAAATCGATTCATTTCTTCCATCTCTTTTTCGAGTTTCATTCATTAATCTAATGTTCAATTTATTTTTATTACTTCCAACCTATGAGTCAAAAACATTTATTCTTCGTCTATTTGTTACGTAAGTTAAAATATTTACTATTCGCATTCAATTGATTGGTAATTAATTAAAACTACATGTTTGAAAAAAAAAATAGTAATCCTATACCATTAACAAAAGTTTAATCCCTGCTCAACTAAAAGATGAAAAGCACAGCTAAGATAGTTCTACAAATATGCCTTGCTCAGACTCAATACTTCATTTAGACATGAAAATACGAATATTCATGTAAAAGAAATCAATGTTCGATATTAAATCTTGATTGCTTCCACTGTAGTCACTAATTAAAAGTACTACGCGAGATTTTTATATATCGCTGACATGAACACAGATACTGGTTCTATTGACAGTGTAAAAATTGAACACTGTAGATAAGGCGACAAACTAGACAGAATATTAGAGAGAAACAAGCAAGTTGAAGAAGAATGCCCTGCCTTCCGACTAGCTTTCAGTATGGAATGCTGTCCGAGGACAGTTTCGAAGGTCCGATATCTTTTCGACAACTATTACTAGTTGTAGCTCTGAACAGAAGGCCAACCTGACTGAAAGTTCTTCTCGTTTAATCACTTAAGCTCTCCATACATGCTGACTAACCACATATTAGCCATAAAGGCTTTTTGTGTATGTCGACAGCGTAGTCATTGTGCTATCGAACGGGTGGTCCGAGACAAAATAGCCGTTAGTGACTTGTCCAAGGTCATTCTATGTATGATGGCGCTGAAGTTCGAATACACTATCTTGTGGATATGAGTCAAAAGTCGTAATCATTCAGCCATAGCGTCTTCAGCAAGTTGACTTCTTTCAGATCATGTTTTATAAAAAGATTACATTGTCCTAAAATGATCACTTAAAAACTAAGAAAAATAAGTTTATTTGTTCTATTTTCTAGTTTAATGCGAACAAGTAAAAATATTAATTTAAATGTAAAATCACAAAATTTCCTATTTCATCTATTGATTGAATTATTCTTATTTACTGAATCAATGATTAGTCCAATAACACAAAAGTTACAAAATGCTGTCATGGATATAACATTTCTTCTTTTACAAAGACAACATTCTCATGAGAGCGTCACAATACAACAACGACTATATCACAAATTTCAATTGCCTGAACTTCCAGAAAAGTTTCATGATCTATTGACAGCTATCGATATTATCAATACTTTGATTGATAAAAATAAACAACAGCAACAATATCTTAAACGATTTTTAGAACAATCATATAATATTTTAGATCGAAATTTCCGAATCACTGACGATGACATTCAAACTTCAAATAAATTTTTCGATACATTTGCTGATCTACAACTAATCAGTTTAATGAATGAACATTCATTAATGAATGAATCATTATATGAATTTCTTTCTGCCTTACCAAATGAATCAAAGTCCTATCCAGCATTCTATAAAAATTATCCATTACTATTGAATGTACCACGCAAATATATACAGATTCGTGCTACATTTTTCAGTCTATTCAATATATTTATCAAAAAAACTATATCAACACTTGATTTTAGTTTATTACCAGGTCAAAGTATTTTAGTAGATTATATCAGAATAGCCAAAAATTATTTATTACAAACATTAAAATTTGAATTACTCGAAGAATCATTATCAAAAACCAATTATGGAACTATTTCGAAACTATCTGAAGTGAAATTTGATACAATTAAAGCTAATAATCATGATAACGAAGGAAATAATACTATGTTTAACCAAGCATTTGAACAGCTACATGAAGATGCTCATATAATATTTCGAGCAAGCAATGAACGTTTATGGCAAGCAACATATCTTGAAATGCATAGTATTGATCAAGGTGGACCTTATCGTGATTCAATAACAGCTATTTGTTCTGATATATGTAGCTCACGTTTACCATTATTTGTATTATGTCCAAATGGACGAATGAATAATGGACTAAATCGTGATTGTTGGATTCCAAATGTTTTTCCACCGAATAAACCAATTTCAAATAAGTTTAAAAAACAATATCAATTCATTGGACATTTGATGGGTATGGCTATTCGTAAGAAACATTATTTGAATGTAAAATTCCCAATTTTATTATGGAAACAATTAGTAGGCGAAGAAATAACTATGAAAGATATTGAAGGAATTGATATACAAAGTTTTGTAATTGTTAAAGAAATGGAAATTGATCTTGAACAAAATCAATCAATTGATAATGATAGTGAAATTAATTATTTATGTACTAGTATTATGAGTGAACTTCGATTTGATGTTATCAGTTCATCTGGACAAACTTATGAACTAATTCCTGGTGGTCAAGATATTTCTGTTACTCCAAGAAATTTTCCAGAATATTGTGAACGTTATCGTGAATATCGATTGAATGAATTTCATCGACCTATTGAATATATTCGACAAGGTTTATGTAGTATTATTCCATACAACTTTTTAACATTGTTTACGGCGAATGAACTTGAAGAAGCTATATGTGGAAAAGGTGAAATTGATGTGTTACTATTGAAACGAAATACTATTTATCGTGGTGATTATAACGAAAATTCACCGCATATTCAACAATTTTGGATCGTTCTCAATGAAATGTTCAGTGAATTACAAAAGAAATTATTTCTAATATTCGTTTGGGGACGAAGCACTTTGCCCAAGCTCGATAAAGATTTTACATCAAAATTTATAATTCAAACAATTTCTTATGATAATAATCATGAAATAGATCAAATGCTTCCAAGTGAGTCGCATTTGTATCTCATTATTTCACATTACACAATCGTTATACATGTGTTGACGAAGCTTGAGAGATTTTTCTAGTTAGATCAAAAGAAAAAAAAAAGAAAATTGTTACCTGTTAGAACACATGTGAATTGTAGATTTACTTGTTTACTTATTGATTTATCAGTAAATGTCACCTAATTGAACTTAAATTTTCTGAAAATTATCAAGTTTCAGAAATCGACTAGGATTCATTCTTTTGTTAGAGAGTTAAAAACATATATTGATTAAGATATTGTATATTTCGTAACGAATCATATTTATTTTTCTTTTAAAAACTAACGAGGGAACCTCCCCAGGTATTACCCTCCGATTTTAATGATTTTTTGTCTATAGATACTACATAGTGCTCTAGTAAAAACTCTGAAAGGATTTGGGTTCCTAGGGCTTTCTTTAGAAATTATGAATACTTTAATTTTGTCTCTATAAGGTATAACATACAATATTTAAGAGAGGGTTCGCCAGGCCGACTTCCGCTAAATATTTTTTTTTCTATCTTTTAGCGCAAATGAAAGACCGTATCGGAAAATTTATAAATCCAATATATCGAGTTATTGTGAAGTATTTATGAAAAATACCAAGGATCATAAGTTTTAACTTTTTATGGTTAGATCATAAAAATTTTTAAAAAAATTTTTTGCTAAATTGATGGGTTTTTTGAGAATTTTTCTGTCTCTAATCGTTCCTTTGAGTCAGTAGAAGTATTAAAAGATGCAGGACTTCAAGGACTTACAGAAACTCAGTTCTCTTTTTTTGGCAACAGCATAACTTGACGAGATTCGAGGCAACTTACAAGCAAAAGAATGACCATCAAACATAGACCCCCTTCTTTTGTGGAAGTTCATTCATTCACTAAAACTTATTGTAATGAAACATGGTATACCACATTCTGTAGAAAATTCTTTTCTGTATCTTTTGAAACCTTTCCTGGCTCAAAGGGGCAATTAGAGACAGAAAATTCTCAAAAAATCCATCAATTTAGTAAAAAATCATTTTTTTAAAATTTTTACAGTCTAACCACAAAAATTCGATAACTGTAATTCTTGGTATTTGTTATAAATACTTCACAATAACGCGATATATTGGATTTATAAATTGGGTGTTTGTCTTGAGAGGGGTCATTTTTCGGTCTTTGTTGACGGTTTATTTTTTCTAGAACTCCTACAAAGTGGGTGTTTGTCGGTGTTTGTGTGTATAATTCTCCAAGATGTGGGCGTTTGTCAAGGTGACTTATATGCGGTTTTACAAAGTTGGGTGTTTGTGCTGTTTGTATAAATTAGTAATACCCGTCAAGCTTTATTTATTTCATATCACCGTCCCTTCAGTCGAGGGAAAAAGGCTGGTTTCGGATTGGTCCATTTTTTGACTAATGAAAGCTCCAATCGGAAGGAAGGACTTCAGATTCAGATCCCTGGATATCGATAACCTATTGCAAAGTTTTATCAAATGGTCAAAAAGCCTTAATATAAAAAAACTCACTTCTGATAGGCCCATTTTCTAACCAATGAAAGCTCAGACAGAATAACTGAGTTCGGACTCGGATTTCTGGATATCGATAACCTATGGCAAAGTTTTATCAAAAAGTCGAAAAGCCTCAAAATACAAAAGCTCGTTTCTGATTGGTTCATTTCCTGACCAATGAAAGCTCATATATGATAACTGACTTCAGATTTGGATTCTTTGACCCCGATTTGCTTTTGTCAACCTTTATAAAAAGTCGTTATTTTCTTAAAAACTCTTTCCTTCATGGAAACGGGCTTGAACTGATAACGGTACTTACGGTTCAGTGATTGGATACTTAGTACAGTACTTAGTACTTTTCGTACTTTTTACTTAAAAATCTTTAGTACTTAGTACATTTGTGCAGTACAAGTACATTTACTTTGTATTTAACTTGTGTACTTAGTACTTGTACTTCGATACTTTTTATTTAAGTACAATATACTTAGTACCGATACTACAGCACTATGTACTGTAGTACCGGCACTAAGTACATGTGTACTTAATGAGATGTTGTCTAATGTAATCTTTTTTGTTAGTTGTTTGTTTGTGGCTTCTGCGGAACACATGCTTTTAACAGCTCCTCATCTCTAGGTGATATTTCAAAAACTTAACAATTACTTTAAAGCTTCAAAAACGCAGATTGACCATGTGTTTTTCAGATAATCTTTCTACGTAGGTAATAATGAATATTTGAATTTTACAGATTATTTATCTCTGTAACATCAGGTCGTAGATGAAATAATGTTTTGCTGTTGCAATAGCTTGTTTATTTAATATGTACTTATCAGTTGGCGATGTATAAATTTTTGTTGTAGTATTCAATGATAAACGACAGAAGATGTTACAATGAAGAATTAAAATTTTTATTAGTTTCAGGAAGTAACAGTGACAAATAATAATATGATAAAAAATAACAAAGAGTTAAAATAAAAAGTGGAACAAGAAGTTAAAAATAAATAGTAAGTCAACAAAAACAAATCTGAGAAGAACAACTGATGGAAATAACGAATGTGACGCAACTATTTCAAAGCAAATTCTGATTTACACGTAGAAGAACTAAATCACGAAATAAAGTCTCATTCATGTTCGTTCTTCTTGATGATAATATGAGTCCGGCATTAGAGAACACTCTCTCAATTGGAGCTGAACTTGCTTGAACTGAGAAAATTCGTACAATTAAGTTCTTCAAAATTTTTAGTAGTGAATGGAACCAGTAATTCGAAAAATTTGAACGAACTGGACCATTTTGAAAATGCATCTAATTCTACAGCAGGATCAAGTGTCGACGATGCATTTGAATCATTGATAATATTATCATCATAATTAAACAATTTTCGTCTTTTTCTTTGTGGTGTAGTAGTAGTAGAAGAAGAAAATATTGATGATGATATTGAAGAAAAATTAATCTTCACTGGTTCAATAGTTGATGCTGGTAAATCTTTTTTCATTTCATTAATAATCAATTCGATTATGTGTTGTTTTAAACGATTTTCCATTGGAATAGGTAATTTTAAATCACGAATCCATAAAAATTTAAATGATGGATCTAATACAGCAGCTATAAAATATATTGGATCACCATAAGCAGAATTATCAACAATATCAACTAAATTTAATCGATTAAATGAAAAAGTCCTTTTCTAATAATTATTTTTATATAAATCAATCATACACAACGATAGATTTTGTCGTATACATTTTTTTTCAAATTGCATTCACCTTACCTTGTATCTTTCGCTTCTAAAGCAAGAGTCACTTTCAAACTCTCTTACCACATTTTAATATATATGACTGATCATGATTAATTCTATTTTAGGTAAACAAAATCAAATATTTCAGAAAAACGTTATAAACTCTCTATTAAAAAGCAACTATCATCACCTTCACAAAATCGTTGTATAATGTGATCCAAAAGTTACGCATCATCCTTGACATAATGAAAAGACTTGACCTTCGTTACCTGTTCATTTAAAATTCAAAATATTTTCGTCCAACAAAATATTTATTTAGATCGACAGCTGCTCTGCTTAAATAAACCTTTGTTGGTAGTAAATACTGAATTTTTAATGCACACATTAGAGGAATCAAGATTTTTTTTTTACTAAGTCAAGGATAACGCATAACTTTGGACAATCCTGTGTATGAATATCAAAGTAAAAGGAGCTTATTAATTTAATCAAAACTATTTTCTCATAAAAAACAAGCAATTAATAGTCAATCCAGTGGCTTCAATATCAGTCTTATCAAATGTTATAATATTAGCACGGCTGTCGCGACCGGGAGGACGGGAGCTCACCCCTCCCAGTCTTTAAAAATTTCGTTTTATTCCCTCGATTGTTTTTTTAAATTTTTACTAAATTTTCAAAAAATTTGAGGAGTTTTCGAAAAATTTTCTAAAACCCTTCAAACATCTTCAAAGGTCCCTCAGAGTCTTCAAAACTTCTTCAAAAACCTCCAAAAATCTCCACAAATTTCCAAAAATGTGAAAAGTTTTTCAAAATTCTTTAAAAACTTTAGAAGAATGTGCGAAAAACTTTCTAAAATCCGTCAGTCTCCAAAAATTACCAAAATCTTGAAAATTTTTCCAGCCCTGCAAAAATTTCCGAAAATTTTAGAAGAGTTTGCGGAAAATTTGCTAAAATCCTTCCAAAACCTCCGAAGTCTTTAAAAATTGTTGAAAAATTGCCAAAAATCGTTAAAGATTTCCGAAAATCTTCAAAAATTTTGGGAGATTTTTCGAAAGACTTTCTACAATCCCCCAAAAATTTCTAGAATTCTTTGGAAATTTCTAAAAACTTTTAATAAAACTGTAAATTCTTTTTTTTCAAAATTTCTATAATGTATAAAAGATTTTGAAAAATATGCAAAACTTTTTTCAATCCCTCGCCCAACCTTAAATGCTTCGAGACAGCCCTGAACAGCAGTATATACTTTTCATAAAATATGTGTTCTTAATGCAATAAATCGATCAATAAATTTACCAACTCTTTATTTTACCAAAACTTTTGTTTCTTTTTCTTTAAAGAAAATCTAAAAATCATCCTCCAATCATAGTTGTCAGTGTGCAATTTAATACTGTATATAGCCAACCATAGTGAATTCTCCTTTACATCTATGAACAACTATATACATATCGGTGTTTCCTTCTCAGTCTAGGGCCAAGTCAATCGACTGTCGATGAACGTTACTTGTAGATTTTGGAGCGTTAAAAATGGTCTATTTTGCTCGTTTTTATCGATTTTCATGGCTTTAATGGCCAAGAGATACGATTCTGAAAGTGTTCACTTGATAAATTTGTAATCGTTTACAGATTCTCTTCTCTAAATATGAAGCTCATGGTTTCTCATCATACGATAGGAGCGTCGGATCATGCTGAATGAACTGGTTATGACCACAAGAAGTTAAAAAGCCTTCAGGAACTAAATTTAGGTTGAACCATAGATTTTTCATTCTGAAATTTCAGACTCTTTTTTCTGGACTCTTTTTAACCAACTGTCAGAAACTTACAATAGCTCCTTGTTGGCACTTCATACTTTAATTAAGAAAATATTAAGAAAGATTGTCTTCTCTTGTAAAAATTATATCAGTAATTGGTGTGAAGCAACTGGAAGTAATCAAGTACGAAGAAAGCCAGAGAACTATTATCCTTAGTATAAACATCGGACTTTGTCACTCATGATGTCTTTCTATGGATGGTATTAGTCTTATAGGAATTGAGAAGGTTTCAGTTGTGTTAAATGATAATTTTAAATAAGAAGACAACAAATTTATCACTTATTGAATAGAGATTAAATCTTGATTGAAGAAAGTCAGACAACATAAAGCATGGATGTTATTGGATATTATTTGATATCAGTTATCAGACGTAAACTCTTGAAAGCATCTTTATCTCATTCCTATATTAATGTATATCGAATGTGGCCGAGTAAAATAGAACTTACTGTTATTAAAAACTAGAAGAGTTATGGCATTTCACATCGTATATTTTCATTGACCTGTAGTAATAACTTTTTCTCGAAAGCACTCACCAGCTAATTAATATATTAAGCGGACCAGTTTTTGGTCGGTTGAATTCTGTCACTGAACCGGTCGGCTTTGCCCCCCGGTTGGATCAAAAAATATGAACCGGCCGATCCGGTCCAGTTCAGTAGAAACAACTAAACCCGCTGGCCCAGTCCGGTCGAGAAAAACTCTACCGGTCCTAAGTATGGTCCCGATAGTACACATATGTGCCATCTTAAGAATTTTCTAATCCTCGAATTTTTGAGAATCTTGGAAAAATATCTTCAACAAATATTAGAATTCGATAGAGACCCGCACAAACTTGCACGAATGAGAGGATGTATCAAGGACATTGAGAAGTGCATCAGTATCAGAGGAAGTGATGAAAAACCATAACTTTCGGCTGATCAGCCAAAATTATTTCCAATTATCTGCGATGCACCTATTGTAGCACAAAAGGCAGTCAGAGAAGGATGAATATAATTTGTAACTTTTGTTGTGTTGGCCTTTGTTTAAAAGATTTTTTTTCTATCATAAAAACTATGTGTATTAGTAATGAAATAAAGGCTTCAGTAATCAGAGGAGCAATTCTTTATTAAAATGCAACAATAACAAAAAATGTCTTAACCTTCATATGATTGCATGCTTTCTGTAATTGTAATTTAACAACAGGCTTCATAATGTTTTCTAGTTAGTTTATACTAACTTTCATCAAATTCGCTTCGGGAGAAAAAATTCAGGACTCAAAGAGTTAAAGTGAAACTTTCTGCTGTAATGTTTTTTTCTACAGAATTTTTATTTCGCTACATATGTTCAATTTTTGTTAGCTATATGTTTTTAACGGAAATATCTAATAAATCAGCAGTATATGCAAATCTTGGAACTGAACTTGAAAGAGGAAGATGTTAGTAGAACCTGGAATGTTCAAAGAAGAAGTTAAAAACAATTTTCATTCTACTGGACGACCTTTATAGATGATCCCATATTATTTCCTCAAGGTAGAAAAAATATTTGAATAAATACTTAAATAGGCGAAGTAACCGAGGTATGTTGTGCCAACGTAGTGTGTCTTTGATACCACATTGAGAAAGTCTTCTTATATTTTATTCTATCATTCGTATATTCTTTTTTAAGTTTATCGTTTCCAGTATTTTATGTTTATGAATTTATTTAATATTTTTTTTCTTCGTAGGACATCTGGCACAAGCACAAATCTACGCTGAAAATTCAACTGTGCCATCAACTATCATTAATATTAAAGGATATTTTCCAGTAGTTAGCACCCTACCTCTATATTCTCAAATTTTTTACCTACAGCTCCTATATTCTCATGAGTTTTGCTTCCTTTCTCATATTCTCAACTTTTTCGCTTAATTATCATACATTCGCGCATATTTTTCTTTAGTTTTTCTGCAGTCTTTTCAAATTTTAATTCTAATAAAATATTCAAAATAAGATAGTGTTTCACTTTACTTGTTGAGAACCGCATCAAATATCGATAAAAATCATGAATAACATATGTTTGTTTTGCTAAACTCACTACCATGCTTTCAGTGAGGTTATTAGTTTCAACGAGCATGAAGTATGACTTTTTGGAATATTTTCTTGATGCAATCAGGAAAATCCTTCAACTATCACAATCAGTTTCATCATTGTGAGATTGAGAGTCTCATTGTATAGGTGTATATGTTTCGTTGGTATTCACTTCACAATCAAAAGATAACAAATCTTGCCATGTTTCAAATACAACTACAGATTTCGCCAAGACAATCTTCCCTTTTCATTTGAAACTCATTTGTGCGGTTCTCTCACTCTTTATTCTCAATCGAACATTTGATGGATATTGCTAAGCAAAATCTCAATTCAGAATTAAAGTATGCTTTCCGCAGTCAGTCACAGCGAACTACCTTCATAAAATCGACTTGCTCAAACTATCTTCCATAATTTTCTAAATTCCACATTTTATTATGGTACTCTATCCTATAGAATTCGACGACAAAACATGTTTTTCAAATTATTTTGCAAGTGAGAGAAATTGTAAGTTTCGATTATTCATCAATGACCTTGACAGATCTTGCAGCTACGTC